CGCCCTGAGGGCTGTGCATCTTCTCACTGGTGGTGGGAGAGCCTTCCAGGTGCCCCCCCCTCCCCTCCACCTTCTTTCCTTCCATTCTTTCTCGCCTCTTGCCCATCCGTCCCCTCTGGAGTTCACCCTGAGCTCCCTTTCTCTGTCAGTGCCTTTGACCATGTGACGCCCTCAGCCTGGAGCCCTCGCCTCCCCACCCGCGTCCCTCCTGCTCCTGATGACGCCTCCTCCAGGGAGCCCTCCAGGCCTCCCTCCCAGGCGGACACTTCTCCGTTGGTGCCTCCGCTCTGAGTCCTGCTTTGGGTGACGGAATGTTCTCCTTTTCCCTTTTGCTGTGAACCGTGCGAGAGCAGGGGCCATGGCAACCCCAGACCCAGAGCGGCACCCGGGACGGGCGGACACTTACTCTCTGAGCGAATTTCCCTCTTTAGTGTCCTTTCATCTAACCCTCACCGATGTTCCCAGGCCACTGGAGCGATTTCTAAATTAAAACGTAAACACAGAGGTGAAGGGTTCCCTTCACTCTAGTAAGTAGGTCTTTGGAGTAAATGAAAAGCATTGCCCTCAACTCGGCCAGAATCGACTGAGCAGGTGCGAGGACTCACAACGCAGCAAACCTGGCAGCTGACAACCCCGGCAGCCAAACCGGAGCGGAGCGAGCCGGGGACAGATCGCCTCAGACTCGTTCTGGAAAAGCCTGCGTTTACTCGTTGTTAGAAACACACACGGCGATTCCCCGGGAGGGGAGACGGCCGGACACGCGAGCACAGTTCATTTAGAAAGAGGCGGTGCCACCTTCCGGGTATCACGGGGTCGTGAGCGTTCTAAACGCTGGCGTGTCTCGTCTCTGTGCACACAGCCCGCCCTGCGTGTGGGTGGCCGTGTGAGGGTGGCCGTGTGAGGGTGGCTGTGTGTGAGTGGCCCTGCGTGTGGGTGGCGTGTGAGGGTGGCCGTGTGCGGGTGGCCCTGCGTGTGGGTGGCGTGTGAGGGTGGCCATGTGAGGGTGGCCATATGAGGGTGGCCGTGTGTGTGTG